CCCGCAGCGGCGGAGCCGGTGGTTCGCATGGGCGGGATCGCTGCTGCGGATGAATAGGAGAGAAGCCGCTCCTGGAAAAATACTGGCCTTTTTTTTTTTTCCTTCCATTCTTACCCTTTATTGGAAAAAAAGGCCTTTCTTTGGCTTTCTGTGGCTAACTTTAGTGCTACATTGAGCCTAATTATTTTAATATAATGAAGGGCTGCTCTAAGTTATGTAATGACCCTTGCATTGTATTGATATGAATGAAGAATTAACCTTAAAAGGTTGCCCTTCTCGCAAAATGGATTGCACACGCAGATCGCTCTATTGATTAGTTTAGGTATTTAAAGTGCTGCATTTTATCTCTCTAGCCACCTGGTAAATTTGTCATGATGATACTTACAGGAGCAAATTGACGTTGTTTATTTTCCCAAACCTTTTTGGCCTATTTCTTGGCCTCCTATTGCACCTCTGAGCTATATTCTAAGAAAGAACAGTGATAACCCTTCTGCTTAAATAAGCACGAGAGCAGAACATCTCTGTTCAGCTACAACACCAGTGAAAGGGGTGCTGCAGTGCGAAATGTATATTACACTGCAGCCGATGGAGCGAGGGTAGCACTCCTGAACAGGCTTTCGAGAGGACTCGAGTCTTCCCGTCTTGGATGAGTGATGGGAGGGCTTGTCAGAGTTTCTGTTCACTCCAAAAATTGGAGTTCATTTCTCCTCGGAGCTGCCAGATAGCAGGTGCCATCCTAATAATTGCAAAGCACTTCAAGTCTGGGCAGCAGGGGGGATTTTGACTGTGACATGTGCAACTAAGCAAAAAGAGACAGGACACATGTATTTGTAGTAGTACCGCTCTCTGAGGAAGCGATAGGATGACGTTAAATATGGGCATTCGTTTATTTGTACTGAAGTGTTTTAATTTTTAAAAATATTTCCCCCAAAGCGTTGGTGGGGGGTTCTGCGCTCTAATTCTCGCGGAAGCTGCGACTCGCTCCTGTACGCGCTGCCCGAGCGAAGGCCGCTCGGCCGCGGCGGCGCTCCCCGTCT